ACTCCAAAGATATAAAGTGCAGATAATGGATTGCACACATGTATGTGTATTTAAATCTCTTTCTTTGCCTTTTAACTGTTTATTTGTATGTCTCTCTTGGTGTCTCTCTCTGATCCATACTTATCTGGATCTTGTACATTGCCTCATGCTGCCAGTTGATTCCTGCTCCATTACTATTGTGATCTTGGATTTGCCATTGAGTGCTATTAAAAAAANTCTTAGCATCGTAGTCTGATTTTACTTCCATATTAGATAAATGTGGAAGTAAATGTAGTCTGTCTTCTGCTGTTTATCTGTTCTGTACTCCAGCTATAGACGATTGAACTTCTGTCGTGAGATTTCCTGATTTTCACACTTTCTCAGTTCGCTAATCTGCTCTAGAGTTTTCAATGCATTTTAATTTCTTGTTGTTGGAACCTTACACTTTAAGTCTGTGCATTTTGAGTGATTTTGTATAAATATCACTGAGGTACTTACTATTCGAATGTATTGCGACTCACTGAAGTTTGCAGTAAATGCCTTTTGCAAAAAGTGTTTTTCTGGTTTTCCCGAAGTGCATTGCCGTGTCAATGTTATTCCAAACATCTAAACTTCTGTATTTTTCTCTTTCTTCCTCCTTTTTTGAAAGAGCTTAACTCTGTTTTCACCAGTGTACAGTTCTTCCATAGCTAGGTGGGTGCTCTCTGGTACAGTATATTGCTACCAAATGGCTTTTACAGCGCCTTGGGTCGTCCTCCTGACGTGAAAGGCGCTTTATAAATGGAATCTTGTTGTTGTTGTTGTTGTTGTTGTTTTATGCATGTGAGAACCTTAACAGGGAGTGTTGGCAAGTTTTACTTTGGGTGCCAGGCGACAGATTCACAGACCAACAAATTGAGGGAGCAGGAACCCTGTCTGATATTTTTCTTCTAACACAGCGATTCTGAGGCAAACCGTAGCAAACTTCCCCTGAAAGAGATCAGGATTCAAAATTGTCAACTACGGGCTGCTGCAGCATGCACTAGGCAATGTGTTAGAAGGCTTTTAAAGATTATTTCCGGGTCAGGTGATTTAGGTGATGTGGGAAACATTCAGTGATGCAATTGCATGCTTTAGATTAGTGTCAATTTAAAACAAATGTGCTTTGTATGTGGAAAATCTTTTTGTCCATAAATTTATTTGGATGGTGTTGATCCTCGGTGAACATCCTATAAATAACTGCAGGGACCAAACAAGTCTTTCAAAACACAGCACAGCATTATGAAACGGTGAAATCCATCGAGCGAGAATGTTATTTTTCTTCTTGTTTATATATGGCAGAGGAAAGTTGGACAGAACTAGTACCCCCATTTGAGGACTACAGAGATGGTCTGAAGCATTGTTGAAACTCTTCTATAGAAGTCACATAAATCGATTCTGAAGTTGTATTGTATGGGTTTGCTACGCAGATAGATTAATGGTTCTGTTCACCACACTGCATTCTCTCTACTTGTGCACACGGAATGATTGCAAGCATGGGCCTGATGACATAAATAGCTGCAGATAGGTGTCTGGCAATGGGTTAGAAGGGAAAGAAGCAAATTTTGTGTAATTCGTACGCCTGTTGAATCCTAATTATATTACTGCTGTAAATATGATGCCAGATTATTTTCTGTTAATGATGTATAGTTGTTTTATTTTAATTTTAACTTTAAAACCATTGTAACTTTTAACTTTAAAAANTAGGAAGGTCTTGTGAGCTAGGAAAGGAAGAATAGTGTTTGAAAGGTGTAAGGCATCAGGTGGCTGATGTTGCAGTAACCATAAATTATGTAACCAGTTTGTTTCACTGAAAGTAATCTAGCACAATGACTGCATAATTCTCAAGGCTGTAGCATCTACACTCACTATCTAGTCCTGTTGTGTAGTAATTTATATTGTTAAACTTATTTAACAGTGTGGAGTCCTGTAGCTCAGCGGTTAGAGCACTCGCTTTGCAAGTGAGAGACCTGAGTTCAATTCCAGGCAGAGGGCGAAACCTTGGGCAAGTTTCCTTACTCCACACAGAGCCTAATAATAATCCCTCCAAAACCAAAAACAATAATAAATGGGTCATTTTCAATCTACGACTGTTTGTGGGACATTGCTGTGTGCAATTGGCTGCCGAGTTCGCCCACAACTATACAGTCAATTCACTTTACAGGGTCTTCTGTGAAGCGCTTTGGGACGTCCTCCTGACGTGAAAAGCGCTATATCAAATGCAAGGATTATTATTATTATTTCTTTGGGCACGTATGTGAAAACTGCTGCTTGATCAGTGATGGTTGGAGCTGGTGTAATGTGTGAACTGCAGAGAATGGCTGGCTGGGCATTGTAAAGTGTTAGAAAATGTGCGATGCATAAAATGCAAGGATTATTACAGCTGAAATTGAAACCTTCGAAACGCTTAAAATTTGAAATGTGCACAGAGAACTCTTCCCCACAGTCTCCCCCCACACACATAATAATAATGTGTGCGTGTGTGTGTGTGTGTGTGGGGGGGGGGAGGAGACTGTGGAGAAGAGTTCTCTGTACACATTTCAAATTTTAAGAGTTTCGAAGGTTTCAATTTCAGCTGTAATAATTCTTGCATTTTATGTATCTCCTTAATCACATAAAGTGTTTGAATGATCTCACGTGATTTGCTATAAAGGTTAGTAACTGTTTGTAGGCGAAGAGATCAGTTTGCACACAGAAATGTCTCACAAACTGCTATGAAGCGAATTATCACTTACCTTTTATTCTTGGCCAGAACACTGGGGGACACTTGCTCCCCTCCTCAAACAGTAGCGTGGGATCTTCCTTAATGCACTGCATTGATTGCCAGCCTGGCCAACGGTTTTCAAAGTGGGTTCGGGGGGGGCCTGGGGTGATCGAGGTGGCAATTGAAACAAACCGTTGCTGGCTGCTTGAGCCCTTACTCCCTCTGGATCAATTATAGCCCTTGCTCCCTGTGAACCAATCATGGCCCCTACCGTTTTGAGAGCCGACCATTACTTGCTGAAATCTGACCAGTGCGATGGGCGGTGAGAGGAGTGACGTAAACTGTCGTGCAGAACTCGGCATTCAGGGCTCCGAGTTTGTGTGATATCTACATTAACATTGTAAGCATGACTTATCATTTTTTAAATTCTTTCAAAATATTTGCAAGTAAAGGAAGGATCTCAGTTTCTATGGATCTTCACTCAAAATACCTAATCAGAAAGTTTGGGAACCACTGGCCTAAGCTATGAGCTCAAAGTCCTGACGTGGGGCTTGGATCCACTACAGTCAAAAATCGAGAGAAATTCTCAATTATTGTTCTCAATAATACAGCAGTATAGTATTTATTTACAGCACAATGTATACAGAAACATGTATGGGCCTTTGTTTGTCAACCAAATTAGCATCAGTTCAGTTTTAACTGTGTAGATTTGTAGGATAAGCATAGTGAAAATATTGACAATGGTTTTCTTTTGCCAAAGCAGTTTTTTTTAAAAATGTAATATTTCTAAGAAATAACTGTTGCTGCAACCAGGACACAAATTGTCCAGAATCTCACATTAAAAGTTTATGGAACTTCCTGAATTGCTTAGTAAGTAGTAAGTAAATGCAACATCCGACTGGTACTGCACTACAATATGCTGAGAGGTCTGGGTTTGAAATTTGGTAGGTGCATGCTCAGTGAAGATGCTACAATTGATGTCCATGCCACTGACAACCCAGGATACCGTCTCCTGATAAATTCAGGATGTTAAATATGTGCAACTGTCACGTAAGCTTCAGCAATGATGCTCCTTGTGGTTGATGGACCCATCACCACTTGCTTCATGGACTCACACTTGAAGAATGGGCAATTATAGGAGGAAGTGAAGAAGTCCTCCTGCTTGTGACTGTGGAGCTATCTTCGAATGAGCCTTAGATGCGTGGAGGAGAGAAGAGAGGGAGGGGTTAGGGTCACATTTTCAGGTTTCCTTGGTAGAGGAAGCAAGGATGTCTAGGGTTTCTAAACATTACTGGTACCCATTAATTCCTGGCTAGAAGAGATCTTGGTTGTGTCCTACTGGTACTGTTTCAAGGTGCAGAAAAAGTGGCCACTTAGTGAAGTGCAGAGCTTTTGATCCATGAAGATCAATCACACCTTGTGGCGTGAAAAGACAGGAATAGCAGGGAAATGGCCTTAACAACAATTTTGGCAGGGCCAGTTTGCCTCCTGTAAATTCAAATACATGCTGATTCCTTGTGTTAACATTCACTGACTAGTAAATCAAATGGCTCTTACGGAGAACATTGTCTTTGTCTTTCCCATTATTTTGTAGCGAGGAAAAAAATCTGTCACAGTTGAACTGCTCTTTTGATTTAAAAAAGGGTTCTAGTACTCTGCTCATTCTTTAAAAAAAGACTTGTTTTTTTATAGTAATGTATAGTGCTTTTTTTTAGGGAAAATGTATTTTTGGAAAGGAAGCCAATTTCCGCACTGCAAGGTTTCATAAACAAGCATGAGGTGCAACACTGGGGGAGTGATACATTTTCAAAAATGTTATCCTTGGGTTGAGAGGCAAAATTGAGGTCTGTCTGCCTTTTGACGTGGATGTAAATGAACCTTTGACATATTTGGAAAGCAAACTGGAATTTCTCAGTGTCCTGGTTAATTTGTTATGTACTTTATGATTGATTGTGGGCCTTTGCTGGTGCACTTAGTTGCCTTGTTTACCTACAAAACCAGTCACTAAGTTTTGACAATAATTAAGAAGAGCTTGAAGAACTTTCAACATGTTATGTGCTATAAAATTGCAAGTTCTTTTGTTTGACTAAGCAATGCTCTACTACCCGCCAGTATGTTTTATACTAAAAATGACATGTAAAATACTAACACGTCAAGCTTGTTGATACCCAATTGTATTGATAAAGTTGTGTAAAAGTTTGAGTTTATTTTTCTAAAACATTGAAGCCTTTTAAATACCTTTTAAATTTCACCAAACCATTGAGTGATTATTTACATCGTCTTTCTCTGAATATTGCAGAATACATCTGGTATGGAGGATCAGAATGAAGATGAGTCTCCAAAGAAGAATACAGTATGCCAGGTAAATGTTCTGTCCAGAAAATCTCGTAACCAATGTTTCACAAATATGGAATAAGGTTTGGTAGATATGCATTTTATTGTTAATTTTATTAGCAGTTCTACTAAGCAGCCTCTAGTAGTGTATTGGAGGCCAAGGTTATTCGAGACGTTGAATTCTTTCATTTGGCATATTTGGAAGCCAGTACAGCTAAGGGGTTGGCCAGGCTGGTTGCCATTCTCAGCGCGAGCGCAGGAGAGTTAATATCAGGCATGTGACATTCTGCTAGTCTACACAAGTATTACATATTTTGATTCCATGTTACATAGCCTGGATTATCAATTGTTATTTGATGTTGTTTCATGCTTATTAAGACCTCTTGTAAATTGTGTTTGCAAGGAATTCTCAAAGCCCTGTTATTTATAAGGTGGAAGCAATCTAGTCATTATGGCAGCATTAAATTGCAGTGTAAACGTATGCCATGCATATTCATCTGAATGCTTAGAAAGTGGGGGAGCCTGACTAGTATAATTTGGACTGCTAAGCCTGTCCAGAACGTTTAAATTTGATACCCACAAAGCGCACTTTCAAGGTAATGAACAGTAGAGAATTGTTAAAATATTTTTTATATTTGAGTTATTAATTCTTGCAGTCTATCTCAAAATACACCTCAAAGCATGAACATCGAGCTGGAATTCTTTTTTTCTCTTTCTCTCGTATCTTTCCCTTTGTGGAAATTCTTTTTGTGAGCATGGATGATGAGTGTTGAGTGGATATTACAGCTAAGGTTGATCCAAATTTCTAGAGTATGACTATAGTGTTGAAGAGAAATTCATGTTGGGGAGACATCTGAGTACTTCACAGGATGTACCTGCAGTGACTGTCTATTTTCTAGGTGAAAGTAGCAGCTAATTTGTGTACAGCAATGTTCCATAAATAGCCATGGTGTGATTGACTAATTTTATCTGGAACATTGTTGCCAGGATCATGAGAAACTTCCTTCTCTTTTTGAATAGAATGCAGACAGAACTTCAGTTTCACATCTTATCTAACTACACTCCTCATAACTTCTTGTTCTATCACCTGTGCTGATGATTTGTTCCCATGCCTCTCACCCTTTTGAATCAGCAAATGAATCTTTTAATTAGTGAGTATTCAAGGAATGAATCACAAACCAACAAAAATCCATGTGCTCCTGGGCCAGAAGGTGAATCACATGAAACTTGATCACACATAAACACCCAAATTGTTCACCAAATGCCTGTCCGCATCTACCATAAAAGCCTTTACCTAACTCAGGTACCTACATTTCTTGCTCTTATTTAGGCAACTGTCTGATCAGTGCACCTTCTTAGGAAAGAATTAGGAGTAAGTCTGAGTACCAGCTGCAAAACTGGCCTTTGGTCAGAGCCAGATTCTGCCATTCGGTCAGGCAGGTGATTTAATCTGGCCCGAGAAACATTTCCAACTATGGGCCACCCGCGCTCTCCCTCCCCAGCGAACCGACCTCTCAGGGCAGCGACAGGAGCCAGCGGTTAGGAGGACGCAGTGCGGGGAGTGGAAATAATGCCGGTCATTGCTGCAGTGTGTCGCTTGACCGGCAGTCAAAAGGTTGGACCATTGTGGCCTAGACTATATGTCATTTTGAACCAGGCCATTGCACATTTTTATAATGAGGGTGGAAAAAAGTGTTTTCATCTCTAATTTCAAGTGGTTTATGCCTATTTTTGAAGAATATCTAGAATAGATTTTTGGAAAAAAAAGTAGCATAGGTTCAATTATTTGTTGTCTAGAAACAATTTTGATTGATACTTGGAAACCTATAGCTAGTGTTAATTAACATGTATCAAGGTGGTGATGTCATTGGGATGAATCTGCAGTGATTCATTGGCCTTGAACATTGGTGGGGGAGCAATCAATCATGAAGCCAATACTTTTGTTTTATCATTAAATTTGGATAAGTATTAAAATAATCATAAGAGTTTTCATGATTAGACGCAGATTATATTACTACATTGATGTCATGAACGGCCGATGGAAAGTTACTATTCGGTCATTGTTTGCCATGAACTTTGGATATCTACAAACTACTTTTGGTTTGTTTACCTATTTACTGTTCATCTTTTGGGTATATCATTGATACCAATGATCTTACTTTGTTTGAGAAAAAGGCAAAGTTAGAATGAGAACACGGATAACTAAGAACTTCTTAGTAATAATAATAATGATGATAATAATCTTTGCATTTGATATAGGGCCTTATCACATCGTGAAGATGTCTCAAAGCTCTTCACAGGATATACTGTAAATTGAATTCAGTGTGTATTTTGTGGGCGATATGTGGTAGCTAACTGCGTACAACAGTGTCCCACAAACAGCCATGGATTGTGGGACCAAACATTTTTTTTAGAGGATTATTATCCTCGGAAAGCGATCTGCCAATACTGTACTCAATGGCCATTTTAGCCCCCATAATTTACTAACAACTGAGTTCCCACTTAGTGGTACATAAACTGAGCTGTGTGGAGTAAGGAAACTTGCCTAAGGTTTTTGCCCCATCTGGGCAAAATAAATAATAATGGAATTTCCTTTCATTAATTGTACTGTTCCTTTTGTTACTGTTCTATATAATAACTTGTATCTGTGTGCAAGCAGGATAATTTGGCTTGTGTTCATATTATATCAAATATAAGAATTATTACATGGTATAACCTAGGCCAATAGAAAAGTGCAGCCGCAATTTTTCCACGGAATCCGCTACAAACCCCACTCCGCTAAACCCCCCTCTGCTACAATCCCCCTGCTACAACGTCCCCCCCACTTCTGCTACAACCCCCTCTGCTACAAATGCCACCCCCCAACCCGCAACAAATGCCCCCCCCCACCCGCAACAAATGCCCCCCCCACCCGTGGCAAGCGCCCCCCCGCCCGTGGCAAGCGCCCCTCCCCCCCCCCGCCGTGGCAAGCGCCCCCCCCCCCCCCCCGCCCGCGGCAAATGCCCCCACTCCCCATCCGCGGCAAATGCCCCCCCTCCCCGCCCGCTGCAAACCAAAGGTGTCAATAAAATGTATTATCAATAGCAGCAAGCAACCCCCGCAATTGACCGCAAAATTTATCAAATTTTTCTGTAAAAATTTCCATGCATTTTTTAGCAAATATTTCCACAATTTTCTGTTGACCCTCAGAGTCACTGTGAAGTACTTTACCCTGTGAAGTGTGAAGTGCTTTGAAGCGTCTCGATGACACGATAAGGCGGTATATCAAATGTAAGGATTATTATCATTATTAACCTCATTTGTCAGATTGTCTGTCTGTATGATGTCTTCCTGATGCGAAAAGCGCTGTATCAAATGTAAGGATTATGCTGTGATCTGTTCATGTTAGTGTGGAGTGTTTTTTGAGACTATAAGGTATTGTTAAAAAGAAACCCAAGAAAACCTTAATCCACGACTGTTTGTGGGACACTCCTGTGCCCAATTGGCTGCCACATTTCGCCCAGGATTATTATTATTGTTATCTCATTCACTGAAAGCCTATTAAGCAGTGTTTTTCTCCTGCGGTACTGTTGCTCATCTGCAGTCTCTTAATTGAAATTAAGTACACTAGCAATTTAAATTTATAATCTAATTTGTGTTTGTAAATTAAGATTAAAATGCCGTTTTGTTTCATCTCAATTGAATATATTTTCTTTGTTCAGAGATATCCCATGTAAGTAATTTACTGATATTTGTGGCTGCCTCCTTGCAATTGTGCACATTGTGTGCAGTAATCTATACCGTCCACTTACTAAATATAAAGGATCATGCTGTTAATGCATGAATACCATGGCATCTATTCAGAGATGTACATCACTTGCATGGATGGGAAATGAGTGCATTCAAAAATAACAAAGTCTTAGAATGGGCCGTTTGAAGAGGAGTTGGCCCTGGTTGTGGATGGCAAATCGGAGTATGGAGATTGTGTCCCTATTTTGGAGGTTGCAGAAATCAGTGGTAGGGATCAAGGCAATAGTATAGAGCTGCCATTTTCAGGAGTCCTGGACAGACCAGGCAATCAGGAGCTGCTAGGCAGTGCACGCTTTCAAGATGGTGACCAATGGCTGATCAATTTCTATTATTTTCTCACTGCCCCCATCGTCCTCCCTTTTCTTCTCTTCCCAACTTCTTGACGAAGGTTCAAATGTGTCTGAAATGGAATGTACCCCTCCCCGGAGGCTTATGAAATGTAGTTATTGGGCAGTTCCTGGATTTCTTTCCCATTCACACTCTGTCCCATTCACATGAGTTTAGGAAGTGGTGTTGTCCAAACAAGTTATTTCTCTTATGAATTAATGTTAAATGCATATTGCAAACAACCTATCTCCTGAAACTACTAACACGGATGTGCCTTCCACTCAATGGGCACCGGCCTACTTCATGTTAACCGCCACACCTTCGCTGTTCAGGTTTTCAGTGTATCTTGCCCCAATCTTTGGAACTCCATCCTGGCATCCCTTTGACTTGCCCCTTCCCCTTGCCTCTTTCAAGGTATTCCACCACTCCCGACCTTCCTCTTTGACTGTGGTTTTGGCCATCTTTCCCCCACTCCCAGTTCGTGTAAACCTTAGACTATCTAGTACCTTGGGACTTTTTCCTGACGTGAAATGTGCTATATCAATGTAAATTTGCATGGTATCAGTCATTAAACCTCCTGTGTCTGTCTGTCTGTAAGAACTCTGCTTTGAAGATTGAGGAGCCTATCAAGAATCACTTTGTGTACTATCTTGAGTAAATTTACAGTTCCTGGTGCAGCAATCTCCCTGTGTAGGCAATTCTGCTGTGTTTTATTTCCCTTCTCCCAGTGATTTTGATTTTCAGTCTCATTTTTTTGTGCTGTATACTCCTGCCTCTCCTGTTACCTGACCTAGTTTCCCTGCCAGTACATTGTACAGGGCTGTACGTAATAAGCTCACCACCATGTTGGTTCCTGTGCCTGACCCAGGATGATCGGAGAGGCACAGTCCATTTGAGTGTAGCTGCAATAGCACTTTTACTGTTTTGTTATATCAAAAAAAAAGACGCCAACAACAGATATTGAACGCGTCAAACCAAGCTCTGGGTAGAGATTGCAGTTTTCGCTATTTAGGCCAAACTAGAGGTCAGCTCCATTAAGTAGAATTAATACGTTGTTTGAATTCTATATTAAGCCTATTTTCTATGTTACATCCTTTACCACTTTAAAAATATTGCTGTCTTCTGTCTAATATTTTCAAAAAGAATGAGTATATAGAATGTGTGGAATATTTCCTAAATGTTTATTTTCGCTGACTAATCGAATGCCTAATACTGTTTTTTGAGCAGAAGGCTGCTACAATAATAGCCTTGATCAAAGTGTTTAGTGTTAAAAGTATTGTATTGATTTGAGTTTGAAGTGTAATCTGATTATCCATTATATTTCATTTTTTCCTTTCCTCACTCCAACCAATGAACCCAGCTCACTAACGGACCTGCTTCTGTGATCGTCTCCCGGAAGCGGCCTTCGGGGAACTACGAAAAGGAGAAAGACTTGTGCATTAAATATTTTGACCAGTGGTCTGAATCTGATCAGGTGGAATTCGTGGAGCACCTAATCTCACGGATGTGCCACTATCAGCATGGACACATTAACTCTTACCTGAAGCCTATGTTGCAGCGGGACTTCATCACTGCATTGCCAGGTAGGATGCTGTCAAGTGTATTTGTCAATAGTGCTGATTGAGGATTGCTATTGTATAGGTAGACCTTAGACATGAAGATTGCTGTAATGATGGTTCCTGAGCCAGGAGGGTCTGTTGTACTCAGGGCACTGATGATGATAGCCTAGTCTGCCTGGCTCATCAGCAGGATTTGGAGGGGCAGACAGGTCATTGGGGGCAGGGATTCTTCCGACTCGGCTCCTGTTAACCCTGCAAGCCAAAGCCTTGACGAACAGGGTGGTCCTCGCTAGATAAGCAATAGGAAGCTGGACAAGCAGTAGGAAGCTTGCCAAACCATGCTTTCAATAGCTCGCAATGTAGTTTTAGCTGGTTAAACTCCAGCACTATCCCTAATAAACACTCTGGGATCCATAAGTCTTGATCCAAGGGGCACCTAATGCTCTCTGTAATTAAATAAATTAGTCATTTGCTTAATGGCTGTTTCTAATCCGGTTGCCATATTCAACAAATAAACAGCCACTACACTTCACAGTAGAATTCTGTGGAAGGCATATGCTTATGTTTTATGTATGGTAGATGTTCACAATTGCAGTATTTTATCACGTTTGCCTGTCAGTGCTTTTGTGGTGCTCAATGTTTTTTTATTAATAATCTTTCCATTTGACATAATGTCTTTAATAGCAACTCTTTGCTGTCAAGTGCAGTAACCAGTTTTAGGCAAACAAGGCAGCCATTTTGAGCACAGTGAGGTCCCACAAACAGCCATGGGGTATAAATAATCTATCTTCTCTATGATTAGTGTCACAGACCTTTTAATGTCTACCTGAGCCAAAGGAACCTCAGTTTAACATCTCATCCAATGTAAGACGCGCCCAACAATGTAACACTTCCCCCGTACTGCACTCAAGTATCAACCTTGGTGATGAGATAAAATCCCAATGTGTGCCTTGAGCCTGTAACCTCCTGATTCTGAGGCAAGAGGCTGCCATTTGAGCCAACCTGACTTATTCTCTAAACTGGTTAGAGGAATAAGTGCTATGAGATGTTACCTGCATGAATGTGCTATATAAATGCAAGTTGTTGTTGTCATAAACCAGGACCCATTTTCTCCCTGTAAATATTTTTATGTATTGAAAGGAGAAAGTCTGATCTTGATACAGTGTTTCTGAGATACTTCTGGAATGGCCTCAAGTGTTCGTTCATGTGAGAAGAGGACTGAATTGTTGCCAAGCTTTCTTCTCTTTGTTTTTATCTAGTATTGAATTGACGGGGGCAGGGGAAACGGGATAAAATATTACAAAATCTCATCCACATTGAGCACTTCTGGAATTGGGTAAATTCACGTTGTGTTTTTGGACTCTTTTTCCCCAAACTCCAGGACATACACTCTTCTTTCCATAAGACTGCCGCTTGCCATTTAGGTGTGGTATACACATAAACCGTTTTTCCTGATCCTCAAATCAAGTACTTTTCATGCTTACGTTACAAAAAANTCACCACAATACTTTTTGTGGGAGTTGAACTTTGGACACGCTTGATGGTGTACAGAGCTGCAGTTTAGCGATACCAGGAGCTGATTGTTTCTCTGCTGTTTGCTGGTATTTGTTCAAGATCCTGGTCCGCACCTTCAAAGCTCTTCATGGCCTTGCCCCCACCCGTAGCTCTGCGACCTCCTAATGCCCTACCAACCTGCCCGCACCCTCCACTCAGCGGGCTCCGGCCTGCTTCACATTCCCCTCCTCGCCTGACCCACCATTGGCGGGCAGGCCTTCAGCCACTCTGACCCCACCCTTTGGAACTCCATCCCGCAGTCCCTCTGCCTCGCCCCCTCCCTTGCCTCCTTCAAGACTCTCTTCAACCATACCTTCGATCACCCTGCTGCCCCCCACCCTCCCCAATCCCGACCCCCAGCTCGGGTCTGAAACACTGATTGTCCAGCTCCTTGGGATGTGAAAGGTGCCATACAAATGTAATTTTGTTGTTGTTTGCTGCGTCTGCATGAAGATGATAAATTCGCCCCAGCCTTCGTAGGGTAAGAAAAACAATGATCATTTACATGATACACTGGAGGGCAACCAGCACCTGTGGAACTGCACCCCAGGAAGAGGAGACCAGACAAGGAGCTGAGAGGGAACACAATTATCAATTTGACATAAAAACATTTAAAAACAAAAATGTGCTTTGAACAATAAGTCATCCTTCCTAGATTTCATCGTTCATTAAGGATGGTCCAACCTTTTGACCACTGAGGGCTGGATTCCCTATTTTAGAAATGTCCGTGGACTCCATAAAGCAATATTTTTGTTTGCTTTCCAGAAACATTACATTTACACAGCACCCTTTTCACGTTGGAAGAATATCACAAAGCGCTCGACACTGCTGGCTGGATACCTGAGCTTGGGGTGGGATCAAAGGAGGTAGGGATGGAGAGAGGGAAAGATACAATAACTTGTATTTAGATAGCTCCCCTCATGCAAGGTAGGGTCTCAGAGCTCTTGACAGTGGTGGAGCCTGATGCCGGGCCAGAAGGTGGGTGTTCTGACCGGAAGCACGGTCGAACAGGAAGGAGTTCTTCAGCTGCCACCTGAAGATGGGGAAGGAGGGGACAAAGCCGAGGGAATTGAGGGAGAGAGTTCCAGAGTTTGGGGATGAAAAGATGACTCGAAGGTCAGAGTCTTTATGTGCCTTGAAAAGAGGGAGGAAGCAAGCAAGTCAGGGACTCCAGAGAGCGGGGGCAAAATGGCGATGGTGGGGCAAATGAGGTGGAAGAACATGAAGCCTGGCAAAGGGAATGGCATGATTGGGAAATCGCACACCTGCGGTGGCTCACTATCTGGCAGAATGGGGCCTACAGGCCGCCAATTGGATCACCCTGCTTTAAGGTATCAAAGTGGTATTTAAATATATTCTCCCATTGCTCAAAATCTTTGTGTATTGGCCTGCAATGCACTAGGTGGCAGAATTGTATTACTTACCATTGAATGGTTTCACATTCTTTGCAGCTCCAACATGGAAGAGCATGTGATAAACTCAGTGTATGTCCAGCTAGGACTGTCCCAGTCATTACTGCTCTGATTTTCAGGGTTATGAAAATGCTTACTTACCTCTTTCCTCTTATGTTTTGAGAGACCTTACTGGAATTTGATTCAAGATCTTTGGCTGAACTATCTGGGATAATGTATTCAGAACCTCCGGTATACAACTCTTGTGTACTGTCTATCTACAGTGTACTGAATATACATCTGCAGTACAACAAAGTGCGGCACACTTTACTGTTCTACCGCTGACTGGCTGGCTTTTTGGCACAGCTACAGAAGAGTCTCTATGTCAGCAATGTCCCAACAACTGCTGGAAATACTTGAGATTGCATTTGTCGCTGACCAAGCAGTGATGTCAGCAGTTATGACCTGACAATATGAAGTGCTTACTGGCCACTTTCTGTAACTTGGCCTGTTATGGAGGGGTGGGTGGGCGGTGACATCTGATTTTTATGAACCTATTTCACTGTTACTAATGAGGTTCATTGCATGGTTGTATGAAATGCACATTCAACTGTTCTGGCAATTTACATTCTGTATTTTTGTAACAACATTTCAACTTTTATAGTGCTTTAGACGTTGGGAGAACAAAAGAGGACAGAAGGACAAACCTGGGAACTACAGGCCAGTCAGCCTAACATCAGTAGTGGGGAAACTCCTGGAGACTATAATCCAGGACAGAATAAATCTACACTTAGAAAAATATGGGTTAATTAGGGACAGCCAACATGGATTTGTTAAAGGCAAATCTTGTCTAACAAATCTAATAGAATTTTTCGATGAGGTAACGGAGAGGGTGGATAAATATCGTGCAGTTGGTGTAATTTATATGGACTTTCAAAAGGCATTTGACAAAGTGCCACATGAAAGACTTGTAAGAAAGATAGAAGCCCATGGTATAAAAGGGACAGTGGCAGCATGGATCCAGAACTGGCCGGGAGACAGAAAGCAGAGTCATGGTTAACGGCTGCTTTTCTGACTGGAGGGAAGTGTACAGTGGCGTCCCCCAGGGATCAGTATTAGGACCACTGCTCTTCTTAATATACATAAATGATCTGGACTTAGGTATAGCAATAATAATAATAATAATCCTTGCATTTGATATAGCGCTTTTCACGTCGGGAGGACGTCCCAAAACGCTTCACAGAACACACTGTAAAGTGAATTGACTGTATGTTTGTGGGCGAACGCGGCAGCCAATTGCGCACAGCAATGTCCCACAAACAGTCGTAGATTGAAAATGACCAATTTATTATTGTTTTTGTTTTTTTGGAGGGATTATTATTAGGTGTGTGGAGTAAGGAAACTTGCCCAAGGTTTTGCCCTGCCTGGAATTGATCTCAGTTCTCTCACTTGCAAAGCGAGTGCTCTAACCACTGAGCTACAGGACTCCACAGGCACTATTTCCAAGTTTCCAGACAACACAAACTTAGGTAGGATAGTAAACAGTGAGAAAGATAGGAGCCAACTGAAGGAAAACATAGACAGAATGGTAAAATGGGCAAACACATGGCAGATGAGTTTCAATGTGGAGAAATGCGAGGTAATGCATTTTGGTAGAAAGAATGAGGGGAGGCAATATAGGTTATGTGATACAATCTTAAGAGGGGTAAAAGAACAGAGAGACCTGGGGTGCAGGTAAATGAATCCTTGAAGGTGGCAGGACAGGTAGATAAAGCTGTAAAAGGGCAAATGGGATACTGGGCTTTATAAATAGGGGCATAGAGTACAAGAGTCAGGAGGTTATGATTAACCTATATAAAACACTGGTTAGGCCTCAGTTAGAATACTGCGCCCAGTTCTGGGTACCACACTAGAGGAAGGATGTTAAGGCATTGGAAAGAGTGCAGAGGAGATTTACGAAGATGGTACCAGGAATGAGGGACCTTGATTATGAGGAAAGACTAGAGAGGTTAGGATTATTCTCATTGGAGCAGAGAAGGTTACGAGGAGACCTAATAGAGGTCTTCAAAATCATGAGGG